AGTAAGATCGCTTAATCCTGTAATGGTCTCTCCACCTCTCACAGGCCTCCCCACGGGTCGAATAAACGGCTGCCAACTGGCTGGCCAGAGACGGTTATAGCAATCTGAGCTGTTACTGTAATTTATTAATAACGTAAAATACATGTACGTCTTATTCATGAAAATGCCACACCCATACCAACATACACTTTGATAAACACAATGCCCATAGCCTACATTACTGATCATAATTATGAAAAACATGTAAACTTATATAATACTTCTGTATAAAGTGAAACCTAATTACACTATATCAAATACATATATTTTATTCAAGCTATATGTAATATCACGCCATACCTTCACTCTGCCAGTAAAGCCCCCTTTACATTGGATGGCGTCCTTTCTGCGTCCAGCAGTACGGCCCCATTTGAGAGTTAAAAAATTATAATACTTTACGTGCCGACAACTGGCCGATCATTGAGCATTCATTCTGATACAAAATCAATGCTCGTGCCTCCTTATTAAGACCACAGCAATGCCAAATTTCATGGTCGCAGAAAGGACGCAGAAAGGACGCCGTCCAGTGTCAAGGGGGTATAAGTAATAAATGACCGCTCAAAGCACATGCGACATCGCCTTTTATACAGTTGACCACATGGATAATTGAACAGATGTTACCCAATTGAGCTGTGTTAGTAGTTTCTCATCTAACACAATCTAAATAAACATAAGAGCATCGTGGAAATAAAATGAAAATAATAACTATATATGTAATTTCTGCCGTGTCTTCAACACAAGCAAATATGAATGCCTCTGTAGCTGATCAAACCCATGGTATTTTATTGAAACCCAGCTATATCACCTTAGCATCTTAACAAGAAATAGCAAAGAAATACCCTTTACTGTGTCAGATAAGAAATGATGATATTTGCTATACTCTCACTTGTCCACCCATGTTGTTAACTGTGAATATGGCCTCTCTAGAAAATGGTCCATGCAGTGGTTCTTGCAGCCCACGTCACTCTTCTTCGTCTTTTTACCAAGGTTACATGCATAAGGTGTTTCCTCTTGGCAACACTGCTGTGAATTCCTGATGCACGGGGCCTTTTTTAGACATTTCTTTTGCTAGCCCCAATCTGCTAATTGCTCAACCACTACAAAGCTAATCCGCTGCTCGGTTCATATCTCCTGCCGTGGCAGCATAAAAAGACACCTAGCTGTTGTCGATGGCACCAGTCTTCTTCGTGCGGAAACGCCCTGGTGACATATATAGGCACCACCAGTGTCCTCCATCCCTTTGGAAACCCTATATACAGTTTGACTAGGCACGCCATGTCTGGGGGAGGGGGGATTCTGAGGGACATCTATACACTCATCTTGAGAGAAACAATTTTTTCTTCGTTTCTTTTTCTTATTTAACTACCTTCCTTTATTAGCTCCCGTAATTTTGCCCTGGTAGAAACTTGACAGCCAGAAAGGCGTGTCACCTTCACTGACATCCTTTCTAGTGCACGTGGATGAAACTGGTAACACGAGTAATGAACTGCGGATCACTTTTTACGAACCGGTCCCCTGTATAACGTAGCGCATAATTCGCACAGATGGTGTTATATATTTTTGCCACCCTTATCGGTATGTACCTCTTCGTCATGAGTGCCGGTATAACATCTTATTTTTTCATTTGAATTTTCACTGCAAACTACAAAAAAATGTGCCAATCTATCCTCCTTTTTACATACTACAAGATCACAGTCATATACTCAAATAAAATAAGATGTATGAAGTTGTGTGGAGGGGGAGTCAAATTTTCATGGGGGGAGTCAGATTTTCATAATGAAAATCTGACTGGGGAGTCACATTTTCATAATGAAAATCTGACTGGGGAGTCACATTTTCATGGGATGTGCACATTTTTAATTTTCTTATTTTTTCATTAAAATTTTCACTGCAAACTACAAAAAATGTGCCAATGTATCAACCATTTTACATAATACAAGATCACAGTCATATACTCAAAATAAAATAAGATTTATGAAGTTTTGTGGAGGGGGAGTCAAATTTTCATAGGGGAACCACATTTTCATTATGTGCACATTTTTAATTTTTCTTTTTTTTATGAAGATTTTCACCTGCAAACTATAAAAAAGGTGCCAATGTATCATCCATTATGCATACTACAAAATCATAGTCATTTACTCAAATAAAATGAGATTAATGAATGTTTTTTTTGGGGGGAGTCAAAATTTCATGGGGGGAGTCAGATTTT